ACAAAAACAGAAAAACACGTTCACTGCTGTGTGTACAAACTGAAAGGGAAGCAAACTTATTCTTCAGTATTTCTTAAAAAGAAGAAGAAGATGACAGGGAAGAAAAATCAAGTGATACATAAAATACACACCTACTAATTGAAGTTTTTGTAACTTGGGGCTTCTGTTCGGCTGTGCTTTTTAATTGTGCCCTTTCTCTCTTTGTGAATCTGCTGAATTGTGAAAAATAAAGTTGTTGGTTTTTTTTTCCTTTTTTCCTTAAAAGGTTTTTGTTTTCTCCAGAAATGTTACAGTCTCCCACGTTGTTGTGGAGGAAACTTTTCCGTTTCTCCTTTACAAATGTTGCTTCAGTTCATCGAGGTTTATAGTCTATCACTTATGCACAGCTCTCTACCGGTCCCACCATGGCATTTCAGTCAGGTTGAAGTCTGGACTTTGACTGGGTCATTAAAACCCACTGATTCTTTTTTTTTTCAGCATAGTACAAATGAAGCACAAAGTGTTACATCATGTCAATGTTTTTATTTACTTTATAATGTTGTTTTCTTTTGCTTGTGCAGCTTTCCAGCTGCCTTGTTCCTGTGCAGCACTCAGCTCTGTCGTCAGGTCACGTATCCTCCTGAAATAGGGCAGATGTGATCAGGTGATGGAGAACAACTGCCTCGCCTGAAACCACACCCTGAACCCACTGCTCCACCCCTCCTCTACAGCTGAGCCACAAGCCACACCCTGCCACATTCAGCCATTTTGTTCTTTTACTGTTGTGCTTGGGCTCTTCATCCTCTTGCATGATTTTATTTTGGCCAGCATTTAGCTGTTGGATAGATGGCCTGACATTTGACTTTAAGATACTTTGATATACGGAGGAGTTGATGGTTGACTCGGTGACTGCAAGATGCCTAAGTTCTGTGGCTTCAAACAGAAACCAAAATCATCAATCCTCTACCACTTTGCTTGACATGTTCTGAAACCCTGTGTTCTGTTTTCGTCAAACATGGGGCTGTGAATTTGCTGGGACATCTAATCTTGGGAAGACTGTAAGATAATATTAAGCCAAGCTAAGGCAACTTTATTTAAAAACCACTGATCAAACAGCTGAACCTGGAGCAGCAGTTTGGTGTTGAAAGTATTTGTGTGTGTGGTGCATTCAGGCGTGATTTAACAAACCTCAAAACCTTCTGCTTTTATGGAAGTGCTCACACTTGGTGATGGTTAATTAATCAGCAGCACCTAGCTATTTACCCTCTTAATTCCTATGAAGACACCAATGGTGTACTTAGTTTTTCGCAGTACTGCACAAAGTCATGTAAAAAAACATTATTTTTCACATGACTGTGTAACTTTCTGGTATTTCTGTGTTACAAAAGCTGTATCCAAACATCAATATTTAGTTCACACTGAATTTGAAGTCAGTCTCAGAGCATCGGCACATGTTATACTAAATACAGCAATCGATCAATATGTAGTATTTTTTACATATTGTGGAAAGATGATGGTAAAGTCAAATAAATTTGACTAAACTGACATTTTCAGTCAAAGAAAAAGTTAAGAAAAAGCTGCAAATTTCAAATAGTTGTTACGCCTGACATTTACTACTGATGTGTCTGCTTTATTTTACTGATGGCAAGATAACCTCAGTGGCATTGACATTATTTAAACATGATTTCAGTGCATAAGGTTTAAAATATAACATTTGTAAAATAAATAAATAAATAAAAAAACACACACAGTGTACATTTCATAACAGCTTTACTAATAATGATCACCAAAACGATTGCCTGACTCTGCACATTAAACCCATAGAGCTCCTTTTATGGATGGTCAGCATAAATACTGTCTTTGGTCAGTTGACTCTTCTCCCTTCTTGAAGGAATGCACCTGAATAGGTTGCAAGTTCCCCTGACCTTGAGTTTGTCATACCTCCTGTTCCTGAGTTTGTTCCTGAGTCAGCTAGCTGGTTTCCTGTTTCTATGTCTGAATATCTTTCTGTTCCTGAGACCATCCCTTGGTCAGGTAACTGATTTCCTGTTTCTGAGTCAAAATATGTGGATGACCTTTCAGTTCCTGAAAATATCTATGGATCAGCTAACCAATTTCCTCTTTCTGAATGATCATACAATCTTTCTGTTCCCCCATGTATCCTGAAACTGTTAGTGAATCTGGGTAATCTGGCGTTTCTTTGAAGCAGCAACAGACTGTCATTATTTTATCAGATGTCTTTCCTGATACCAAGTCTGAGTCTAAGGCATTCTGTCCTGAGTCTGTTCTGCCATGTGCATCCTGATCCTGAGTCAGCCAATGAAGTCTATCCTCTAGAGTTGTTTGACGTCTACAGTCAACCTCCATCAATCTAGACAGTCATTGCCATAGACTCGCAGACCAAGGACCTTATGTCCGCCAGCTTCACTTGGATCTAACTGGTTTCCAGCTGGTCTTGCTCTCAGGCCTTAGCCTATCTATGTTTTCCCTTCAGCTTCACTGTAAAGATCAACTGAGATCATTTCTGAGGTGCCTTGTCCACCTTCTACTCGGCTTTTACAAGAATTCTTCAGGTTTTAGTCCTTGTGGACAACCTTATAGTCAGGCCTATCGTCACAGTTGTTTCCCCTGTTTTCTCTGTTTCTATATGCCTGCATGTCAGAATCAAAATTAGAATATGTATGTATGTATGTATGGGTGACTTGATTTAATTTTTCAGCAATTTGAGTTATTTCTCTTTGGATGTTTGCCTTCACTTATAATTTCTTTTATCAACCCACTAGAAACTGTCTAGTTGTGAATAAGCCATTTGATCATTTTGTTTTTTACTGGAAGTCTCGGGCTACAAGTTTGAAGAAGCCAAATAAACCTCCATAGTAGATTTCTAACTTTATCTGGTATATCTGGTCAATTCAATAAATGAATTGAAGGATGCATACAACTTTCTATGTCGTGAAATACCTGGCTATATTGTATGAATTTAGATTGCACAAACATGCACCCAAAAAACAGACAAGATGGAGTGTAACTGGAACTGGAGACATCACACACTCATAGCTAATTAGGCAAAGAAAGGTTTGTAACTTAAAAATTGATGGAAGTTTTTTTCGTTCTGTGTTAAGGCTATAACATAGGTAATAGGTAATGTCTATATCTCTGTCTAAATAATGTCTAAAACTCTGAAAGAGTGATATGAGCCAATTTATTGTTAGATTTTATACTTGTTTCCTACTCTTTTCTCTACAGATGCTGCGGGTCTAGCAAAGTTTTGCCAGGGGGGCCAGGTAGGGCATTAACAGGGAAAGGGGGGCACAAAGAAATACTTTTCTTTCTTATTCTCATTTAAAATATCTCGCTTTTAATAAATAATTATCTGAATCTTATAACCAAAGTTTTTATTTGATGTAAAATGTATAGAAATCATACATATACCAACAAAACAGTGTACATCACTGTCACAACAGCGTTTGTTTTCATTCAAAGGCTTTATGGCTTTTCCTATAGTACCTGGTGGGCCTGTTTCTAGTCAAAATGCCCGGGCTGTTTTTTTGTCCCAGTCCAGCCCCGGGCACAACACACAGTGAATTAATCTGAGAAGGTGCAATACAAAAGAAATTTCCCACTTGTGGGACTAATAAAGGTTATCTTATCTTATCTTAAAAAAATAGATGGCCGGGCCAGCGGTGCAAATCGCAAATTTCCTCCCATAGACACATTAGCTGACACATTAGTTGTGCCATATTGGCTTCTTAATGACGGTATCTTAGCTAACAACCCCAACTACCAGATTCATCTTGTAATTGGCTAAAAATCACTTAACCTACCGGTGAGACGGACATTGTTAGCTGGCAGTCGAAGTTTGCAGAACTACGAACGCAGATGGAATCCACAGCTGTACGTGTTCATGGAGCTTGCATTTTCACCTGCTGGACATCATTACCTGACAAGGTTAACTGTCTTCAGAACATTGCAGGGATGTTATTTACAGTATTTGGCTCTACAGATTTTTTTCTCACACGGAGAGTGTCCTCAGGTAGCTGTCTGAATGCTGGGAGACCTGTGTCTCTGAGTGGGAGACCAGAGATCACATTAACATGTGTATCTCTGTATTAACAAACATGCCGTATTGGCTCAGTTTATTTTTTCTTATCATTGTTGTGAGGAGACCATTTGGAGACCATTTGGATTTTCTGTTGTTTGCTGTTATAGAGTTCTTGTTATGGATAAAAAGTGCCTCTTTTTAAAAAAAAAATAGCTGATAACTATTCGCTGATAGCTGCCAGCATCTGTGAACAAATATAATTCTATAAAGTTGTTCTATATAGCGTGTAACTGCTAATATAGAGTGCTATTAAATTTATTGCTAATGCAATCAAATGGCACATTGACTTGGCACTCATCATCAGAAAGGTTGCCGACTCCTGGACTGCAGAAAGACCATCTTTAGGGAAAATGTTATTATCTCAGTTTTTTTATGCCACATGTACATCAGGGTACTAATCATGAAATATTGGATGAAACCTTTACACCACAAGAAGACAATGTGCTCATTGCAGTGCTGATTCTTATAATGAATTATTTGTGCAATATAGCCTCAGAAGCAAAACTTCCTACTTCTAATACCTTTGAATGTCATTATTTATGCTCGTGATATGCGGATATGCAGCGGCAATTATAGAATTTTTCAAATATGATGGCATTGAAAGACTAGCAACCAGTCAGGAGAGAAGGACTGAGATGCCAAGAAAATTCAGAAATTTCAAAATTTCTGAAAATTCATTCAGAAATAAATGGAGCATTAAAAACTAGCTAAGTAAAAAAAGAGGCCATGGTTTTCATGTGTTTTGTATTCGTATTGATCAACTCTTGTAAAACATTTGGACCGTTTACTTAAGCAGTCGTTGCAATATTACCGTGTAAAAATACTCTATTACAAGTAAACTCAGAGACAACCCTTTAGACACGCCCCTGTCCTTCACTCTTATATCACTGGCAGCTTCAGCTGTGAGCCTTAAGGTCAGTTTCACTTCTCTAGATGTTGTGGGGCTGATTGTTTCTTCCTCTCTGAAGATCAAGGTAATGTAAAAGTTTTACATTTTGTATACATTTTTCTGAATTGCTAAGACACTATATAATAATGTAATGTAATATATTATTAATAATAATATATTACACTAACAGTGTAAATAATCATTTTTCAATCATAAACATTAACATTTTATTTTATTTTATTATGTCAATAACAGAAGAAGGACAATGTGTATTATACGAATGTTTAAGTACAAACAGAATCCATTTCTTTTTTCCTATCATATTTTTGAGGAATTTAAGAGACACATGATGCTGAAAATAGTTGAGCTACTGTGCTTTTTAGTGTGCAGTCAATGTTCCCTCAGTGATAGAAACAAAAATACACTACAGTCCTTATAGTATGATATGTTATTGTGACTGGTTGTGTGCATGATCTGAAACTACTGTGTGTTTTGTGAATGTAGTTAGGAGTTTGAGAATTAATTTTTGTGTTAGTATAGCAGAGATTAATTTTCTGACATTCCAACTTTATAGACACCTTATACTGTATGGCACAGGTGTCGAACTCCAGGCCTCGAGGGCTGGTGTCCTGCAGGTTTTAGATGTGTCCGTGATCCAAGACAGCTGATTTAAATGGCTAAATGACCTCCTCAACATGTCTTGAAGTTCTCCAGAGGCCTGGTAATGAACTAATCATTTGATTCAGGTGTGTTGACCCTGGGTGAGATCTAAAACCTGCAGGACACCGGCCCTCGAGGCCTGGAGTTTGACACCCCTGCGTATAAAGACGGTATAAACAGTATAGTGTTAGGGTAAGGTATAGACCAGGGGTCGGCAACCTGCGGCTCCGGAGCCGCATGCGGCTCTTTAGTCGTTATAGTGCGGCTCCTCGTGGTTTGGGAAAATAAATTAGAAGTATTTAGCTGAAGTGTATTTTATTTATGTTAGTTCTTTAAAAAAAAAAAAAAAAAAAAAAACCCTTGTACTTCTAAATTGGAAGATTATTGTGATATTGAAATTTAAAAATAAAATTATATTTTATTATTTTTTCATTGCTCCAAATAAGCATCACACTCGCGGAAGCCAGTGTACCCGCCGAAACGCCGTGCATTTATCGAGACTATGATCTATGTCTATGATCTCACTGGTTCAGGTCTATGCAGAATGGCAGTGGGAACAGAGCCTCTCCTTGGTCCCTCACTTGATGGTGACTTGTGCTATTGGCTTGAAGTTAGCCTCCAGTGTTGTACGCCACATCCCCATTGAGTTCCTGTATCCTCTTGTATAGTTATAGGCATTCCAGGATCCAGGTGTGGGACATCGGGTCATAGGCCTTCTTGTAATGGCTATGATACCTGATAGGAGCTTCCATGTGGTACTGAGGCAGGTTATTGGCTTGTAGTTGGAAGGGACCGGTCCCTTCTGGCAGTCCTCGAGGATCAGGACTGTCCGGCCTTCGGTTAGCCATTCCAGGTGTCTCTCATTGACCAGCAGCTGGTTCATCACTGCTGCCAGATGCTTGTGGAGTGCAGTCAGCTTCTTCAGCCAGTAGGCGTGAACCATATGAACCTTTCTTTGATATCTCCCACTGTGATTGTTACTGGGTCCTGTTCAGGGAGGTTGCTGTGGTCTTCTCTTAGCTCCACCAACTGCTGTTATGGGTTGCGTCCTTCTCCTATATGCTCCTCCTCCAGCCTTGGTGGTGTTGTTCTCATATTGTTCCCCTGCCACTGAGAGTACATCTTGGATGTTTCTGTGAAGAACAGATGGTTTATTCTCCTGCCCTTTATCTCTTTGGTGTACCTCTTCAAGCACCTGGACAAGGCTGTGAGTTTCCAAGGCAGTTTTCAAGTCCTCCGGTATGGACAGCTTGCTGTACTTATTAGGCACCTTCTTCATCGCACCTCATATACATATATGTATATAAACTGCTGGGCATTTTTTGCTTAACAGGCATGTAAGTGGAATGTATATGTATGTTTACTTACGTTCTATGTATTATAAATGAATACATTTTTGTATTTTTAATTTATTATATGTTTAACTGTTTCTTCAGTGCCATCATGGCTTGTTGTACATTAGTGGTAAAGAAATCTGAATTTTTAAAATTAATTATTATGTACTTTAATATTTATAATTATCTACTTTATTTATTTATTTTGTGAGCTATAATAATAGTCAGCACAACTTTATGGATTATGGATAAGTTGTTATATAATTAAGTCATTGAATTTTTATTTATTTATTGGCTTTTCAGAAGAATGCTGGGCACGTTTGACAGCCACTGACTAATTGCTGACTAAATCATCAAAAATGGGGAATGCACCATCAGAAAGTAACATGGGCAGCAACCTGAGATGCTGTAAATGTTATAATGGCCTGCCTCCGTGCATGAGCTTCAACAACCTTTCTCAAAGCACTATTTATGGACGATATGTATATGTGTTCAACGGAGGTCAATATTACAGACCAGTTGGTCAGGATAATGCGTACGAGTGTAGAAGTTGCTTTGACCAATGGGGGAGAAGCGAAGCGGAGAGGCAGGAGAGACAGAGGAGAGAGGAAGAACAGAGAAGAGAACAGGAGAGGCAAAGGAGAGAAGAGGACAAAAGAAGAAAAAAATTCAATGAAACTCTGGAAAGTTCCTACCAACGAGCTAAAGAGCAGTTTGAGAAACAGGTGAGAGGGCACATTTCACAGGAATGTGAGTCCAAGCGAGATGTTCTAATAAAGCATCTGCATAAGTCTGAAGCCAACTATGAATCAATCAGTGACAGTGACGAGCTTCTTGAACTCCTCTCGGTGAAATGCAGTCTTCCACTTTCAAATCTCAGTCTGAGTCAGCTCACAGGTGATCAGCTCAGTGAGATCCTTTCAGTCCTGGACAAACTTCTGTTTGATGAGTGGATCAGTGCTCCTCCATCCATCAGCACTCTGCAGCACACTCAGGTGTTCATCACAGAGCTCTGTGCTCTGTCTCTGGAAATATCTGAAGGAGTTTCCCTACAAACCATCTCCAATCATATGCAGTCCCATTTGGGATCCATCAGCCAATCAGCAAGTGGTGTTTTTGAGAGTTTCCTCTTGACTCAAGCCCTGTATCTGAACCTGATGCATGTTCTCAATGACCGTGACAGATCTGATAATGATGCTGTCCTCATAGCCAAACAATGGGCGGAATATGAGATTTCCACTGAGAACCTCTTTGTAATTGAATTCCTGAGCACCCTCACATCATCACTGCAGAGTACAGTCAGCAGAGCATCTGTGTTCACTTTAAAGATGGAAATCCAGTGTTTAAAGCATCTCTTATCCACACTCACAGATCTAAATGGAAAAGAAGCCCACTCAGAATCCACTGAAATGCTCCTCAAACTTGTGCAAAGAAACCAATGGACTCCAATGGAGGCACTCACTCTGCTTAAAGCACTGTCACAGAAATATGCGGATGATGCTTCCATAACTCAAATCCTTACCTTGGTACGAGTGTATGACATACCACCAGACTGGATAGATGACTGTGGGCACTCTCTAATCCAGCTCCTTGAATCTGCTGCTCCTGAGAGATTTTGTCAGGATTTCCAAAAGACTCTAAGAGGAAACGATGAGAGCATTGTAACTACAGTTCTAGCAGAAGTACAAATGTTGTGGAATTTGGATGACTCTGTCATTGATATGATAAAAAACATTAACACCGGTGTCCTGAAATATACAGAAAATGTACCAAAAGAAGAACCTTTTATGAAAGATTCATTTAAATGTGAATCTTTGAATGCAGACAACATACAGAAGTGTCTGTGTCAGCTCTGCAAAGCAGTGTTTAATATAAAAGGCTGGTGGCCCACAGTGAGGGAGGTGGTGCGGTGGTGTGGACTGGTGCTGACTCAGAAAAGTAGAGTGGTACAACTGGTTGGTGTGGAAGAAGACCCATGTGTTACAGCCATGTTTGCAGCCATGCAAGTCTGCATGGGAAACAAACTGGACATTGTGCTGAGCTCTGATGTTCACTCAGAGGAGCAAACAAAGGAGTGGTCTGACTTCTACAAGCACCTTAACATTTCACTCAACACAAACATGAAGAAGACTCATCCATCATTCCAGGATGTCTATGAAGCAGACATTGTTTATGGTACAATGGATGATTTTGTGTCAGATTATGTTCAACGTGGCATAGAGGCAATGGAAACGGGGCATACACCATTTAGTCGTGGATTTATTATTGAAAAACAAAGTCTCAGTGTTCTGCATGCTCTGGAACTTTCAAGACTCAAAGACGATGACTCCCTGGTGTTTGCTGCAGAGGTCCTGCAGAACCTCATGAGTAAATTTCACAGTGAAGATGTGGGACTGAGACATATCTTTATTAAGGCCCTTTTTCAGGTCATCCATTGTAACCTAAATGAAGACACAATCACTGACACAAAAATCATCACTGTCTCAAAGAAAATCACAGGGAAGGAATTGCTTTCTAATGAGATCTTTATTTTGACCTTTCTGGAAAATCTCTTGCAAGTGTTTGCTAGAGAAACAGAAGCTGTTAAAAACATGACAGATCCTGCAGGCAAATGGTGTTTGGAGAATTTATTTGCCTGTGTGGAACAATTCCAAGACTTAGACAAAGAAACCAAAGAAGTCTTCAAGATGGTTTCAAATCTTGGGGAACAAAGACTTTGGTCACCAGTAGAGATCTTGAACCTTCTTAAAGCATTAACTGATAACCACCATGATGACGGCTGTATTTCCATCATGAAGATTTTACATTTGATGGAAACATATCAGGTTTCCTCTAAGTGGAAAGATGAAAACAACAAATCTCTCACTGAGCTCATAGATTCATGCACAACTAAGAATCTGATCCAGCATCTAGAAAAGAGCCTTAGAGGTGAGAAAAAAAGAAACATTGAAAACCTTTTCTGTGAAATACAGCAGATGAAAGTCATTGATAAACAAACACTGAGTAGATCAGACAACATAGTAACTCATGTAACAAACCTAATCAAAACTGGTGAAATTAAAACGCACACATGTGATGTGGAACATGTTAGGTCTCTGTGTCAAAGCAAAGAAACTGAGGACCTTCAGGAGATCCTTGCAGTCTTATGCAATGCTGTACACCTCCACAAAGCTGAAAGGAAGTGGTTTCCCAGGGCAACTCAGATGATAAGCTGGTGCCTGTTGGCCTTGTCTGACACTGGGAAGCTCCTGGAGATGGGAACTGGAGAAGGGAAGTCTTGTGTCATAGCGATGTTTGCAGTGCTGCGTGTGCTTAGAGGTGAAAAGGTGGATGTGGTGTCCAGCTCCTCTGTGTTATGTCAAAGAGATGCTGAAGAATGGTCCAAATTTTACAAATACTTTGGCATTACAGTCGACACAAACACAAATAAAAATGAGGATAAAGATCGGAAAGAATGCTATCAGAAGGACGTGGTCTATGGAACCATTGAAGCCTTTGCTGCTGATCACCTTCGCCAAATATTTGAGATGAAGGATGTGAGGGCTGATCGTAACTTTCAGTGCATCATTATCGATGAAGTGGACTCACTGCTGCTGGATCAGGGAGTGCAGCTGACATACCTGTCCAGCCCCATGGTGTCCATGCAGCACCTGAACATTATTCTCACCATGATCTGGAGCCACGTCAGTCAGTATGGCTTCCTATCTACAGGACATCAGACATTTGTAAGAGGTCCTCCTGCTTCATTCTTCAAGGCTATCTATGACTCAATGAACACAGAAGACACTGAAATTAGTGATCCAATGGCTATTTTAACTATTGCTGAAGAATCCAACATTGTGCCAAAAGGATTTTCAGAAGAAATCTACAAGAGTGAAAACCATGAAATTCTCAGTAAACTGAAAACAGTGAGTCAGGATGCTATGGTTGACCTTTTCAAAGAAATTGAGGACTATGTGCCTTACGGCTTTACTGCTTACACACTAGATGACAAGGGACTGCTCTGTCTTCAAAAGTGCAGTCCATATAATGACCGGGACATCCCAGAGCTTTCATTTCTTGTCTTGGAGGAAGGATTGTGTTGTCCTCTCTATGAGTCAGAAGAAGTTCTCATCAAGCCCATTGCAGAATTGATCTCTGAGAGGATTCAGTACACCCCATGTGAAAACAATAAAGACAAAATCAGCATTCCTGGATTCTTGAAGACTCTGGTGGAGAAGAAAGTCTCAGTGTGGGTTCAGAATGCCTTTCTGGCAATGTTACTGAAAGAAGGACGAGAATATGTCGTAGAAAATGACAACGTCTGTCCAGTGGACTTCAGATCCACTGGTATTGTTGAACTGAATAAGAAATGGGGGGATGGTCTGCAGCAGTTTGTGGAGATTAAACACCAAGTCAAACTGAGCACAATTTCAACAGTGACAAACTACATTTCCAACATCTCCTTTTTTGAGAAATACCAGGGGAAAATATACGGAACAACAGGAACACTGGGGAGCAAAGCAGACATTCAGTTTTTGCAGGACCTGTATCCAAATCTCTCTGTGTGCAAAATACCAACATTCAGCAGGAAGAAGTTATTTGAGGTCGAAGGTACTCTGAAAAAAACAGCTGAAGAATGGAAATCTGAAATAAAAGATGTGGTCATGGCTCAGATTTCCCCAAATTCATACAGAGATGGAAGAGCAGCGTTGGTGATCTGTGAAACTATAAACAAAGCCAAAGAGATCTACGAAGAGTTGAAGAGCAGCATCCCAAATAAAAAATTGATTCTCTACTGCCGCAGTGACAGAGACAGTTTGAGTAAAATAGACAAGGAGCTTCATCCTGGTGATGTCATTGTTGCCACAAACCTTGCCGGCCGTGGCACAGACATAAAAGTGTCCCTAAAGGTGAACAATAATGGAGGGTTATTTGTGATCCTCTCCTTCCTTTCTGAGAACACAAGAGTGGAACTCCAGGCTTTTGGACGAACTGCACGCAAAGGTAAACCTGGATCTGCTCAGATAATCATTTCCACTGAACACCTGCAGCCATCTTTCAGCACAGTGTCCTCTCTGGAGGAAGCCAAGAGCACAAGAGACAGACTTGCAGCAGAAAAGATAAGTCACATGATGAACGATGTTGCTGAGATGAAACTGCGGGAGGACCTGTTTTCAGAATACTGTGAAACACTTCAAGATATTTATGACACCACTGATGGAGATGAGGAAAGAGCTGTTGTTGCCATCATGAATGAGTTCTGGGGGATTTGGCTGCAAACTAAATCAGAAGAAATTGATCAGTTGAAAAGAAATGAACTGCAAGAGAGTCTGAAAGCTGATTTGTCAAATGCAAAAAGTCAGTCTGAAAGTAAGACTTCACCATGTTCCAGCATTTATCACTACATCAAGTTTGGAAATGTTGCACTGGATGAAAAAAAGTGGGACACCGCAGCCATAATGTTTGAAAAAGCCACGACAGAGGATAAAAGCTGGGCAGCTGTAGCTTTTTACACTCGTGCATACTGCACTATACAACAGGCGGAAGGAGATTACCTCACCAAGGCAATAGATGATCTAATGAAGGCACAGGAATCTCTGAAGTTTCTCAGTGAAGAATCATTAGTCTGCCTTCAGTTTGTAACAATGTCCTCTGCATACTCAGCCAACAGCAACCCAACCAGTCTGGAAAAACAGTTATCAACCAAGTGCAATGTTCTAAGTTACTTTGACAAAAACATTACTGAGGCCATCAAAAAGTTGGATAAAATAAAACAGCAGAATCCAGTGATAAAAAAATCCCCTATTTTCTGCTTGGTATCAGGGGCTGATAAAGATCTCCAAGTTGAAGTCTATACCCTCTATAATAGAGGTCTGAGATATATATTTTCTGTGGAAGATGAGCCTCGTTTCTCATGGGAAGGTCTTCTAGTGACCTTTTTTGCAGTTTTACAGAATATTGGAGGATCATTGCTCACTGCATGTATGTTTCATAGATTGGCTCAAGTTGGCATGGGACTCATTACTGAAGAAAAAACAGATAGCACGAGTGAGTCTACGATGACAGGAGAAATCAGCTGGAAGTCATGGGCAACAGAAAAAGCCATTTCTCTTGGTGTATCTCTCATTGGGTTTGGAGTTGGAAAGTTGGTCGCAAAGAGCTTCAAATCTTCTGAAATATTACTCAAAGGAATGGGCAAAAAGATGAAGCCGATGCCAAAGTTTCTCTCCAGACAGGCTGAAGAAAATGTTAGTCCTGTGACAAATATGAAGAATGCAGAAATGACAATCATTACTAATGGTTTTGGGAATAAAGAAGAGAAAATACTGGCAGATATAGTAAACAGCATCAAATCTGATTTAAAAGAAAGGATTGTCCCCAGTGTGGAATCAAACATGGAAAAAGACCCCTTAGCTACATTAGTAGACTTCATCATTCTCTCACAACCTGAGGATAAAAAGCAACTTCAAGATCTTCTGAACAATAAGAGCACAAAGAATAATCTCTTGGCCATTTTCAAAGAGTTAAGCAAAACTGCAGTGCAGCCATTCTATGCAGACCTCAGTTGGCAGAATAAACTGAATTCATCTCTCTCTAAAATAACTGAAAAAGCCAAATCACACACCAAAGACAATGCATCTGCAATTCTTACCACAATCCAAACTCGTTACATGGGCCGACTGGCAGACAATACCATCAGTACAGTGCTCAGTCTCTCATATAAGTTTTTCTCAAATCTTCATGAACAGCTGAAAATATTTAAAGAAAAGAAAATCAACGAGAATGTGAAAGTAAGTGATCTATCTGGAGAGGACATTAAACTTTTGAAAGACTTCAAGCAAGACTTAGCATCCACCATCAGTACTTTATTGGCTGATGCTTTGGTAGAAGTCTTCGACCACAAGTTCTCTATTTACATTGTTTCTCATGTTCACGGTCAAATAAAAAGCAATATTGACCATCATATAATCATAAACAGCTTAAAGAGTGACAGGACAGAGGAAAAACTCAGAGCTGGGCAGAACAACATATACAAGCCAAGAAAGCTGAATTCTAAACACAAACTTAAAGGAGAGGCAGGTCAGTGCTCACAATCACATGCTGAAAAGATCAAGAACTCCACGACTGCAGGCACCATCCTCGATATCAAAGTTCTGTCAGAAGCCACTGGCACTAAAGTTGTCATCCTAACAGAGGACAGCAATGGAAGACTTACCAAAATGCAGGAGCTGAGCCCAGACACTCGACCTGCCAATACAACTGTGACATTGATCTACAGACAAAAGAGTGACCAATACCCTGATGGCCATTATGATGTGCACATCAATAACCAGACAGTGATTATAGAGAGTGAGGGCAAGAGCTGTTTGTTTCATGCTTTGGCACGGGGTATGAAACCAGAAGGCAGCTCTGCCGAGATCGCTTTGAAAGCAGACTGCCTTCGATCTGTGGAGGCTGATGCTCTCCTCAGTAACCCAGGCCAATGGGAGCCTTTCCTCAAGCACAAAGAGTTGACTGAAGCAATCAGGGGAGGGGACTGGTACGTGGCAGAAGTAGCTGCACCCAAAAAGGCCATAGAAGAAAGCAAAAGGTTACACCAGGAAGAGTTTGGAAAAGTAGAGTTATACCAAGAATGGCAAAAATATACAAAGAAAAACAAGGAACACAATCCTCAGCGTCCTCTACTGAACAGGTACAATCACATTTGATATGATACTAAATTACAGCTAAAATAAAAAAAATCTGTGCTTTATTTTTTATTGTTATGTTTTGCTCCCTGGTGTAGAGTTATGGATTTATTGTACATTTGTAAAGCAGGATTATAACATTTAATGAATGTGATTGGTGCATGATGCTGTTACACACAATACTGATTTGACAAGATGGATGTGTTTTTTTTTCTTTCTTTTCTTTCCAGTAACAACAACTGAGAACAAGACTGGTGAACAATCAAACAATTCTTCCGCCTGTCTGATCATCATCAAGAGACCTCTCTATTATGATATACTTTTAATTCAGTTTTTTTTTTTTTACTTTATTGAAGACAAAAATACAAAAAGCCACACACATTTACCTCAATTTGGACATTGAGGCAATTTTTCAATTTAGTTTTAATTTAGATCTTTTGATTCTGTAGTAAAACATACATATTTAATACAAGTAAGATGGCATAAGAATCATACATACTGTTAGAAATCCTTAGTGCTAAATGCTGTTTAGGCTAAGGTAAGGTAGGGCCGTTTGATTTCTTTCTAAAAGATTATTTTCAGACTTCAAACAAATTTTGACATGATCAGAAATCAGTAAAGTATAAAGGTCAAATATTCAATTCTAAGGTATTTCCAGACACAACAGCAAAGGATAGCATATTTTAGTCGACTGCATTATTAATCAGTCAGGAAAAAAGAAAGGTTAGCCTGTCTACATGTCCTTCTGTTGTCAGTTTCCAAGTATATTCCCAGTTACTGCCCTATAGTGTAACTCTATCTAATATGTAATCTTTTTTCAACAAAAAAGTCATTAATTTTCGATGCAATTTGATTTTTACATTGAATATATTGTTTTGCTTATTTACAAAACCAATTCCAAGTATTTGGGATTCTGTGTAAAATGGAAATAGAAACCAAATACAATGATTTGCAGATATTATAAGTTCATATATCTACATTTCAGCCTTGTGAATGCTGCCAATTCCATTATTGCTGCCTAATGGGGGAAAGATATCCAATTGTGATTTTTTGCTTTGATCACTGTACAATTTTTTTTCCAGACTCTGAATTTTTTAATGATTTTGGCATATCTTTCTAATTTTGGACATAGTTATATTGTTCTGAAATAGTTCCATAATTTAAAGGCAGTTTCTTGCAGATTGGTGAACCTCTACCCATCTTAACTTCTGAGATTTTCTTTTTTTTTTAATACCCGGTCATGTTAGTGACCTGTTGTCAATTCATATAATTAGTTCCAAAATGTTGCTCTAGTTGTTTTAAGTTTAGTACCACCCTCTTGTTGTTCTTTCCCAACCTTTTTGAGACATGTTGCTACTATTAAATTCAAAATGAGCTAATATTTTTCATAAAATTCTGAACTATGTCTCAGTTTAAACATTTGATATATTTTTACATTTTATTAAGACCATTGCTTTCTTTTTGTATTTAATTTTCTAGCTTTTTAAAAAAAAATGGTTTGTAATCTGATGTATCTCTTCTGTGTGCAAGACTACTTAATTAATTTGATTGTTCAATAACATATAATCAAACAAAAGTATTAATCAATTGACTTATATGGAATTGTTTATATATGTGTCAACCAATAAATGGAAATTAAGTAATGATGTAATAACAAGAGATGATGTAATGTTCTTTATCAGCATCAGGCATTATCATTAAAGTGTTTCGAATTTATGTTGAAAGCAAGACTTTAAACTAACTGCAAGTCTACTACATTATCAGAGAACGCTAAAATTGATATTTCTGAGGTTAAAAGTGATCTGTGCAATTACAAAACATATATATATATGTATATATATAGATATATATACATATAATATTTATTTGTCTTCATAAATCGAGCTTAAATTTACTGTGATCTCTGACTATGTAATATATGAAATTATTACATTTGAATTTGCAAATATACTTCATGAAAATGTGATTATTTATATTTTTATCTAAACATAATTTAGTCTTGTACTTTTCGCATATTCTTTAAGGATATTGTAGTTTTGCAAAATCATCCTATAGACTGCTCTGCCAACCATTTGACATTGACCAATCGTGAGAGAAAAATGAATATTTCCTGACTGATCATCAGGGGTTCCTGTAGGTAGGCTGATGGCAGTTGCTAGGTAAATAATGGCTAAGGCCCCAGTGATGCATGTCTACAGACTAGTAGGAGACTCTTGACAACCCCCTGTTGCTAAGAAGAAACTGGTGTTTTACAACCACTGGCAAAACCACCTTCAGATTTGTGACTTTGGTACCAACAAAGACAAACAAATACATGATCACACTGTCATCAGTATAGCAGAGACTGAAGTGTCCCAGAAGCTGCAGGCAGTCAGATTTAACCTTGGAGAAAGGTATCAGTACAGCTCATCAGTTCAACAAAATAATCAGAGAGTAATGTGGAAGAACAACAGACAACATAAAACATAAACTTCTGAAAAGTTAAGCCAAAGCTGAAGTGTCTTAAAGTTGCATTCCTATGGCTACCAGGGGGTGATATTTGTAGTTCTAGTCCTATATAAATGACTAGTAAAATGGCTTTCTGACTGATTTCTAAACATTTTCCTAGTGAGTTTGTGTGCTCACATTTTGGGTCATATTGAATGCACTAAGGCCCAGTAGAATAATAAATAAATAAATAAATGCATAAATAAATAAATATCATTTTGAATTACTTTGAATGCAAAGCAAATTTAGTAGTCTGAAATAAGTATAACAGACCCAGTTTTACATGCCTATTTATCTTCTGCATTGTCTCAGTCAATGAACTGTCACAGACATTAAACACTAAGATTGTGTAGATGTATTTACTGAACCAAGTGACACACTTACAAAGAGCTTGGGTTGTCAGAAGAAGTCATGTAACACTCAACACATCTGACACAATTTCAGAATAAACAGAATTCACAGAATAAATCAGAATTTAAAAGCGGCACTGACAAAATAATGATGATAAATAATCAGATTTCCTCCTCTAAACTGATGTAATCCAGCTAAAAGAAACGTAAAGTCTGTGGATTGTGCAGTATTATAAACAAGTTACATAAATTCATGCATATTACCAAAGAGCGGCAGTAAAGATGGCCAAAGGTTTACAATAGTTAGTACGTGACAAGTGATGGAAACTGTGGCTTTGACTGTGGGTTTGTGTGAGCGTATATGAGCCAAGAGATGGCTGCTTGCTTTGTCTATTGCTGTTGCGTGAACTGCTATTTCCTCATTATTGTTCTGTAGACGTGGCTTATTGTGACACCAGTTTTATTCATCAACTATGGTTGAAAGCTTACATTCACATCACAGGAATAATTTCAGGGATTTTAATGATTTGTTTGAAGTGTTCTTTCTCCCGGTTAGAATGATTGCACAGAGTACATCTTTAATTCTGTGCACAGCCACAGAGAACTGTTGATGTTGTAACAGCAAACTGTACTTTGGCAAATACATGAACAGGTTAAACAGTCAGTAAGTACTGAAAGTCATTACTGCAGGCAAATCACCAGCATCAGTCAGATCAGATCAAAGCTCTGCAAATATACATTTATTACTGCAAGTCATCAAGGAAAGGTCTGATGGATCTTCCAGGAATAGTGATGTTGCTTTTAAGATTACTGATTGGTTAGTAGGCGGCAATACCTTCATCTTCATAGTACAGAAACAGTTGCATACTTTGATCTCTTCAGTTTGTTTACTTGTAAATTTGTGAAAGTAGATGTGAAAGGATTGTGGCTGCATATTCATAGGCTTTTTACATGTTATGATACTAATTTAAAGGCTTGTAAACAGATCTTGTGATTGTTGAGATAGCATGGATAGCTGTTACATCCTGTCTTCAGTCTTTATGCTACATAATTAAGTTTGTAAGCTGTTTTTTTTTTAAATATAGTATTCCATCTATCATCTAGGAAGAATATAAAGAAGCATAATGAAATTAAACTCAACTCAATTTTTTTCTAAACCAAGATTAAAGGAGTGGTTTTCACTGTAGTAAAACCACAGCTGTCAATGTATTTGGGTCACACCTCTTATGCACTCTTATTAATGTAAGTAAGTTTTGTGTTGATAATGACTTGCATGTTGTGGACATGACTTGCAGTTTCCTGGCAGTCTGTTATTGCCACATCTTTGTCCACAGCAGTTCTAGTGAGCATCAGCTTTCTGTTCATTTCGTTTGTCAGCCATGGACAAAATTGTGCTGCTCCTGTTGTGCCTGCAGGTTGTTCTGCTCATCACTGCCTTTCCTTCGGACGACGCAGCTGGTCAAGTCGTAGTGAGAGGTCCAGATCAGGTAAAAAGATCTGCAACAGCAATCAAAAAGGTAGGGATACATACCTTTAATTATCTGTCTGAATTTACTACAAATTCCATATTATATTTTGTGGAGAGAGGAACTTAATGCCGCAGAAGAGAAAGCTCGCTGTTTTAGGTTGTATCAACAGACCTGGATCACGTGGCTGGCAAATGTGTTTGATTTTGAGTGTATTTCTACTTTTCCATTACAAAATTGGAACGTAGCATCATAATAGGTGTTTGTGCAGTTTTATACTCCCTTAAGTTCATTCCTTGTGTTTGGAAAGATTCATCAAAACTTGAAATTTTTTGGAAAACATGCATGGCGTATCCTCCAAACAAAAGAGGAGGGACCATCGGGCTTGTTATCAGTGCTCAGCACCAATGGAATTGACACATGTCAACACATGCACATGTCTAAAGCTGCCATTACTGCATAAATTTATATACATAAATACATGCATAAGAGCAACAGATGCTCCCAGTCATATGACATATTTTGTCAGGGGGTCCTTTGGATATTTCAGCAAGACATTGCTAAGCCACATACTGCATCTTTGCAATAGCACGGTTACGTAAAAGAAAAGTCCGGGTACCTAACTGGCCTGTCTGCAGTCCAGACCTTTCGCCAACTGAAAACTAAGTGCACTGTGAAACAAGAAATACAACTGTCACGTACAGCTGTGTGGCAGGCAGAGGTTGGACCCAAAAGCAGGACTCAAAAACAGAATTGTAAGCTAAAAGGTTTATTGCTGCGTAAAAATATTCAAAAATAAAAGAACTAACAACTGAAAACTCTGAAACTAGTAACAAAACAAGAAATAAACAATTAGGGAATACCAATAGAAACTAACTGATCAAACTAGGAACACACGATAGACTACACAGCTAGCAGAGACAATGTGACAATGAGCAGAGGGCGACTGAAGATTTAAATACACACAGGATAACAAGGGGATGGGCAACAGGTGGGAACACAGGAGGAACAAATCAGAGACAAAAAGACGGGGGAAGAAAAACTGAGCAAAATGCACAAGAGACCAGGACTACCAAAATAAAACAGGAAACACAAAACAGAGCCGGACAGTGAGACAACGATGGAGAGATGATGGGGTGGGAAGAACACAGATGAGACCAGGACACAAAAGCCAACAGACTAAATGAACAAGTAACTAAGAACTCGTTACTTGTACTTGTACATTTTCTCAGTTTAAACATTTGATCTGTTGTTTCATTAGATCAAATGTGGGATTGTGAGATTTGCAATTTATTGCCTTCTGTATTTATTTACTGTTTACACAGGATCACAATTTTTCAAAGTCATTGTGGACTCTGTATATTAATCTATAAATGTCATGACCATGATTTCTTTATACAGTAACAACGTGTCTATAGTTTATGTTGATTTTAATTTATCATCATTACATAAAAACGCAATGTTCATGTCATTTCATTATAGGTGGCAAACAGGACGGTCAACCCACCAAAGCAAGAACTACAGAAGAGAAGGTGTTCCTTTAGACGTGGAGGGTGCAGCCCAATGGTAAATTGTTTTGTTATTCATATTTTCTTTATTTCCTGCTGATACAGAACAGCAACTTGATAAACACTGAATCATCTTGTGAATTATCCTTCTGTTTCCAAAGCTTTCTTATTACAGAAAACAATAATGGATTGCAAAGCCCATGTTTTTCTTTATAAAGAAAAAGCTGGTCCTGTTACTATGATCACTATTGAATTTTTTTTTTTTTTAATTTCAAGCACATAGATATTTAAAGCTAAAGCAGAGCAAAGACTGTTTTATCAGTTATTTATTCATTTCTCTCTCTGTAGGGCCAGTAATTTACCCATCACACATTGCTGCGGCCAGAAACTCCTTCCTGCATTTTTCCATTGACCTGGGTGCTTCAATAATCTACGTATATAAACTATCACAACAACAGATTCTCTGCAAACATGTTGCAACATTGCAGTTGGTGCAGAAGTCACCTCGCATACATCACCGAAACAGATGCTAAATTT